ACAGAATTTATCACTTTGTCCTTTTTATTCCTGATGGAATAAAAAGTAATTTTATGCCTTTTATGGATACAGTTCAATGGTATTCTCATTGCTGTGCAATCGTCATCAGAATCTACCCTTAGAAATTCTTCACTGCCCTATACTATTTATCCATTAAACACAAATATCTCATCCCTCACTCCTCCGAGGCACTGCATACTGCATTCTATTTTCTGTCCCTATGAATTCAGTCATTCTTCATACCTCATTCAAGTAGAATCATACAATGGTTTTCCTTTTGTGTCTGTCTTCCTCACATAGCAAAATTTCTTTTTCAGTTCATCAACACTATAGAATATATCAGAACTTCATTCCTTTCTTAAGCTAAGTAGTATCCCATTACACATTTGGTTTATCCATTCAATGTTGATGGACATCTTATTTCCACTTTTTGTTACTGCAAATATTTCTGCCATGAAAGTTGGTGTGTTAATATCTGTTCTCGTACTTGTGTTCAGTTCTTTCACCTATATTTCCATATCTGGAATTGCTGGGCCATAAAGTAATTCTATATTAATTTTTTCAGAAATTGCAATATAGTTCCCACAGTAAGTGTATTATTTTAATTTCCTACCTGCAATGAACAAGAGAACCAATTTCTCCACATTTTCACCAACTTATTTTATGATTTTATTTGTATAAAGAGGCATACTGATGGATATGGTGTTTTGAATTTTGTTGGGGCTCCCATTTACTTTTACTGCTATTTGTTTGTTTTAAATATGTACTTTTTAAAACTCTAGTTAACCAAAATATTGGTCTCCAAAATTATGGAAAATCACTTTCATCTATAAAATCCCCTGGTTGAGGAAACATTGTACTCAAAGACTAGACAATGTTTCCCACGATGGACTTGAAGTTAGAAAAGCAAAGTTCTATGTTTAGTTCCATTACAGTGTGTAAGTAAAGTTCCAGAGGGTTGTAGTACATCTTGGAGACAAGTTTTTTTTTAAATAAAGTTAGCTTAGAATACGTCCTTAACCCCTGAGTCTCATCTGGAGAGTAGTTCCAAAAAAATGGCAAAGTGCTCTGCTAAAAATTTGGAAAGGGTCTCAGTTAAAAATGAACATGTAGAGTATATAGATACACAGAATTATAGCTAGTCACTGAGCACCATGGTCTCATGAATGGTGAAGTAAGAACACATAAAAATAAATGTCAAAGTTTCTTAAGCAAACTGCATAAATTATAGGATCTGAATTGGCAATGAAAAATGAACATAAATTTTTCCTTCAGTTATTGGAGTATTAGTTCCTTCCTTGGGGCAATGTCTATGTAACAAGCCTGATGGAACCTTGGAGTTAAATGAAAATTGAACAGATTATTTGTCTTACCTCCTTGACACAATGGTACAAATTAGGATCTTTAACACAAAATATAAAGACTTATTTCTTTATTTGTTTAACTTAACTTTTTCAGGACCTAAGTCATGACTACCAAATGTCTTTACAACAATGCTCTAAGTTAGAAGCTGTCCTCTACATATCATCAACATACCAAAGATAGAATTAAAGGTAATGTTAGCCAGAACATGAGGCCCAACAAGAGAAAACAAGGAATGGGGATTGGTCAATGAAATGAGGGGGGACGCAATCAGGGCCCAAAAGAAAGAAGAGCATGGAGCATAGTGAAGATCTAAATGGAGATTCTACAAAGATAGAATGAGAATTTTATTCTGCATAGATAGAATTGGGATTTGTTCTCTCCAAAGGCAGAGGCATGGAAACCATGAAGAAAGCAGGATGGGAAAATAACTATAGTGTTGGGGATACCTGCCTAGTGGAGCAGACCTGCAGTGAAGGTGCACATTGTTTGAGGCACTGTGACAGCACCTATATTACTGCCATTTATTCCTATGCCTGTGCTGTGCTGTAACTGAACTACTAAAATAGGGTACATAGTTGGCTGGGGCTGGAAGATACCCCACAGGGGAGGAGATAGAGCTATTGACAGATCCCCACACACAGCCTCCTCTTACTGTCCTTAGCAGTTGGCTCCAATCAATGTGAGAATTGATTGCAAAGTTCATTCATTAATAGGATGAACAAGAGGACTAGAGCAGAGAAAGTCCAAGCCAGAAGTGTCCCTCTGTGCTCCAGAGCCCCCAAATCAAGGATGAAAAGAACCCATAGAAAGGAGCCTTCAGACAGTGACAAGATCAAGGAAAGCTGAAGCCATGTTCTACCCAAGATACTGAAAAGAACAAGTGTTTTAGGTTCCATTTCATGTCTTTTGCCTGCAGCAGACCTTTCATTCCCAAATGTGTTCAGCTTTAGATGATAAAATATATAGTTCCCCTTAAGTATGAAAGTGTCCTCCAAATTCTACTTTTGTTCTAGGTGTTCTAGCAACCCTTTCTAGAGGAATTAGTAACTACATTCCCTAAACGAGGAGCCCATGACTGAGTTGGACTGAAATATCCCTATTACTGGTTCTTCTTCTGAAACCCATCTGTCCCTACAGAGCACCAACCATACTTTCAATATCTTGGTGTACAGGAATTTTTGTCTACAGAACAAATAAATGAATATGGTTGTAAAAGAATAAATAGGAAGGTAATCAATGTAGCACAATATGATCTACCCATGACCTGCTTTTTTTTAAATTAAACACTTTAGATTTAGATTTACTTTCCTTATTAGTAGGAGGTAAATCATTTCATGAAGCATTTCCTACTCTCCAGTTAATTACTCAAGATCTCTAGGGCCATAGTGCCAAGAAGTCAGGATCATTCCCACACACCATGCTGCTGAACTTTTTGTTGCTCTGTGATGTTCTGAGGGCATCTGTTCCTGTCCAGCTCATCCCCTCTTGTTGGCCTGGATCCCTCCTGGCCCTGCAGTGTGAGCTCACACTTCCATAGACATCTGCAGTCCACAAAGGCTCTTCCTGTCCTGGGAACAGAGTCCTGAGGTTCTTCTACCTCTGCCATCTATAGTTCCTGAACGTTCCTCCCTTTTAGTCCTCAGGTTCTGGTGCTCAGATCTTCTATCTTCTGGAAAGTTCCCAGTACAGTGTCTGTAGTATCTTCATGAAAATTCATCATCTTCTTTTTAGAAGGCATCTTATGCTAAATAGAAAGAAACAAATCTGAGGCACAAAAATGAATGCATAAGTTCTTAGGTAGATTCACTGGGTCACTCTCATGGCAATATGTATCCCATCCTGTGTCCATAGCCACAATCTGTTCTACCTATGAAAATTTCTGTTCCTACTCATGTTAATTTTTAGCCCTCCTAGAAGTACTTGCAGCCCAGCCATACATCCCATCTTCCTCAGGCTGGAAGAGATGCTGAGAGTCTGAGAAGGGAGAAGATGTTGAGCTTGTACAAGGGCAAAGAATTTCTCCACATGGCTGTGGCTTCAGAACCAGTAACTATTGGCACACAGATACACAGTCATGTCTCCAGGCTGCATGGGCTGGATATTTAGAGTGGATAACAATCCCTCAGGCATCTCAGCTGAGAATCAATCCTTGAAACACTGTGTATCCAAAGGAATCTTGTTATAGAAAGAAAACAGAAATTCTGTCACCTTTGTTGGGGTGTTTTCAACACCAACAGAGGGAAACATGACAAGAAATGGTATAACATCTCAGAACCATATTCTGTCCTATCTCTGTGACATCATGGCTGGGGTTTGACTGACTCCACATTCCATTTGTCCTGTGTAGGAGACAAAGAGCAAAAAGTAAGTGAAACAAAAGTTTGAAATCACAAACTTTGGTATGATAGGAATTTCCCAAGCATCTCCAGGAGTCACCTGTATCTGAGACTAAAGATCGTCTATAAGATTGAGCATAGCTTAGGCCTCTTCCAGGTGGAGATAGATGTGCTCTCAGTCCATAAGAGGAGACCTCGTCACATCACAGCCAATGCTGCACCTACAAACTCAAGGACACTAACAGGAAATCAGGAACTTGAGCACCGTCAAGGACACAAGATTCCCCAGGGCAGATGCAGGAGTGTCCTGAAGGATGCAGTGTGCATTTAATAATGCTCTAAGAGGGGCCCTCTGATGACATGGTATCAGGACAGTAAGGTCTGGTAAAGACCTGAATAAAACAGGTCCTCACTAATGACTGGTTCAAAGCCAGACTACAGAAGCTCTGAGTATGAGGGCTTAACATGTTGAGACCAAAGAGACAAAAGAGGGAAAAGCAACCCTAGAAGTGTCACCATAGGGAAAAAATCCAGTGAAGATCTGAGACATGAAACCAACAAGAGCAAGGCAGAGAGCACGGACAGGGGTAAGTCCTTGGCTGAAATGGTGGCACTGGACAGAATCATGCTTGCTGCCTGCAGGGCTCAGAGGAAGTTTTTGTGCAGATGGGGCACTTTGATCTGTGCTAAGCTTAGGGCTTAGATTCTAGCTTAAAGTGGAAAAAAAGAGAAATTAGAGAATAGACAGATTGAAATACAGAATAATTGAAATGGAAAAGACAGAGAAATACATATTTTCAAATGTGTTTCTCAAATGCTGGATCTTCTATTGTCCCTTGAAGCTGGCATGAGGCCAAAGTTCAGTGTTTCTTGATCCTATGTGGCTATAGTCCTCATGAAAGGAGCTCCTTGATTTTGCTAAGATGCCTCAGAAGTGGCAAGAGCTGAAGTGTACAGAGCATGACACCTGACCTCATGACAGTAGCCCCTGGAAATTCTTAATCTAAATGTTCACTTATAGCAGGCTTTGTTTTATTCTCAATAAAAAGATAATATAAACCTAGATTCAAATGTATGTATCTTTTCATCAATTGGCAGAGCAGAGCCACACAGGAATAAAAGGAACTTCATACTCTAAATATGTGCAGAGAATACAGAGTTGCTGCATCAGTTGAATCAGCAGGTGGTATTACAGTTTGTGACTTCTGGAGTCCTACAGGAAACATTCATCAGAGCTCACAGTAACCAACAAAGCTTCCTGGATGGAGACACAGGTTTGCGCACAGGGAGGCAGTGACTCTATAAGGCTGTGTCTTGACTGCTGGCACAGAGATATGTGGCTGAGTCTTTAGGCTCCAGGAAAGCCATGTGTAGGAATAAGAGAGAACTGTCGGAGCAATCAGGTGAGAAGCGACTGGGCACACTCTCATTTTGGACAAGTTTCTTAAAGTTGTATAGAAACATGAGCTCTGGAGACTTGTTAGCATTCTGTTTATACCAATACATAGCATTATGTCCCAGATGTTGTTCACATTTCAAAGACTTCTTATTTGAGGTCCCCATAGATAGATATCTTGGTGTCTGGATAATTCTGGAATCCATGGGGACTGTGAGGAGAAAGGGACAAAAGGCAGACAGAACCAGAAGGAAGTTAATTATTGTAGCCAAAAGGAATAAGCTTGGGGTTCAAAGACAGCCCATTGGAACCCAAGACTCACCTGCACCCAGGAGACAGAGGACCACACAGTAGAGCAGCTTGTAGCCCATGGTGGAGTCAGGTCCCAGGGGCCATTGTGTAGCTAAGATTCCCTGGAAGAGGGGGCTGGGCTTCAGTTACCAGGGCCCTGATTGGTGTTTTGTGTGTGATGTCATTGTCCTTGATTGCTTCCTCAACTCCAGGGGAAATTTCTTCCTCCCCTTTTAAACCCTATATAGATTTTGATAAAAGGCAGATATGCAAGGTAAGAATGGAGATAAAGGCAGACAGAGCAGAGGTGGCATTTAATCTTCAATGACATTTTTGTCACAGATACTCCTCGAGCAAAGCTGTGTCCTCATCATATAGCTCTTCTCTCTATTCCCCTTCCTTCCTGTACCCCTCTTAGAGATAAACACTTTCTCATTAAGGGATGCCTTTCTCCCCTGCTCAGTCACATTTCCAGCACTGTTCCATTTTGCATTTAAGCTTCATGGCCCAATATTGTGGAATGAGTATGATGGGATGGCCATGATTACATGCTGGACCTGTATCCATCATTTAATATGTATGTCTGTGATGTCAACAAGGAACCAGACCCTGGAGAAGATGCTAAGAGGAGAATAAAAGGGGTGAGCCAGGCTCTGTCCCTGTAGTTAAGAGTATGGAGCTTAGCTGGCCTCAAAGGAAACATATTTTTCACACTAAAATACAGGTATGTGATATGATACAGAAGAGAATCAATTATAAATTGACTTTGATGTGTTTGAGATATCCACAACTAAAGTTCCCAACTGACACGAATATGGGGTCCAGATGGTCCACCTTCCTTCCTTGCCCACACTCCACTCTCTTTTGCTCTCCCCAGCCCCACCAAAGCAGACCTTCTTCCTGTGGTGAAAGCAGCACATCTCCTGACCACAGACCACTTACCAACCAGCTTCAGCAACTCAGAGCTTCCCACATTCTATATAACAGGACCACCTGGGGAAGGGGAGTGTGAAGAGGAAAAAGACATGTGGAACAGTGCAGAGAGTTGGCAGCAATACTCTCATCCACACCAGGACAGTGATTTTCACTCTACAGAGACTGTGCCAGCATCCCTAGCAGTGAGCAGAAGTGATATTAACTAGCCAGGCACTATGGGACTTATTGATCATCTTGGCCTATACGATAGACACTCCCTGAGCAACAGCTAGGAGCAGCTACAAGTCCTATTTTACCAGTAAGTAAGTGTACTCACAGATGACCACCAGGGAATAAAGTGTATCTCACATGAAGTTGAAGTATTCATTACTCAGCGTTTAAATTACTTCATATACATGACACCATATTTTTTCATTTATAAAGTCAGGGAAACCAAAATGTCCTTTTCTGAAGTGCTAGAAACCAAACCAGCCTCATCAGCTCTTCAGATAACATTTCAATCTGAGAAAAGCTGGAATGTCCTACCATGGTTGAGTCTGTTCAAGTGTATAAACTATAAGTGTTTTCTTAACCTGGATAGAAGGATAGTTAGCTGCGATTAAATCAAGGATTGATGATTTAGATTGTTCATTCCTCCTAAAACCTACCAACATTTTAATCCATACTGCTACTTCCTTTCTACCAAAATACAACTTTGATCATGTTATCTCACTTGAATTAGAACCAGTAGATAACAAATGCCTAGAAATTTGTGACCAAAGCCTTTTCCAAGGCTCCCAATATCCTCTATCATAAGATTGCTGTGTGCTTCAGGGAAAAGTTCAAAAATGACACTCAGAATTGTGAAGGAATCATATTAGTCACCCTCGTGAAGAGAAGTGGTCTTCAATTCACAAGGCTGCATCGATTGACTTCCCCACCTTTATGTTCTAGTTTACCTACTTGTGCTTGTCATAGACTTTCATGCTTATCTAGGTATTATTTCTGTTCAAAAAGAAAGTCATTGATCATCTGAATTTCCTCTGGATATTAGAAAGATTTACCTTTCCTACTCTTTTAGGGTTGTTCTCACCAAACATTTTTTGTAACCTTGACGGTTCATGTTTGTAGACCCAGCTACTCTGGAGGTAAAGAATGAGGGGATCTCAATTCAAGGCCAACCTAGACAAAGAGATAGTGAGACCCCATTTCAACAAATAAGCCAGTTGGAGTCACACCAATAATCCCAGCTACGCAGCAGGCATAGGTATGAGCACTGAGATCCTAGTCTTAGATCCTTTTTGCCGTTTAGGCAAAAAGCATGAGATGCTGTTTGAAAAATAATCTAAACCAAAAAAGACTGGAGGCATAACTCAGTGGTGAAATGCTTGTCAAGCAAGCATGAGGCTGTGAGTTCAAATCCCATTTGTTTCCCAAAAAACCCAAAATAATAATGTTACAGAAAATATGTACCACAGAGAAAAAAATAAGGAATGACTTCTCCTATCAGCAAGGGTCTTCAAGGTCGTTCATTGTTTGTTGAGTCCTGAATATTTGGGTGACTTTATTGAAAACCCCTACTCTAGCCAAGAAGCAGAATTTTTTAGGACTTATGGGTGCACAAAAAACATTGTGTGAACAGGGGAGCTGGACTGTAGACAGAACCTTCATTCTGGTCCCTAAGGACTAATGGAGGCCTGGGCATAGCCACAGCTTCCTGGCTGGCCAGGAGGTTTCTGTACAAGGAGGCAGTGACTCTGCAAGGCTGTGCCTTGACTGCTGGTGCAAAGATACACTGCAGAATCCTCTGGCTCCAGAGATGTGACATGAAGGTTTAAATGAGCCCTGTCTGGAGATTCAGGGGAGAAGCGACTTGGAACTGTTTCATTTAAAATTAGTTTTTGAGAGTTGTAGCTAAACATAATCTTCACTGATTGCTTGAAGGCCTGCTTATACCAGTACATAGTATTGTGGCCCAGATTTTGTTCACATTTAAGGGAATTCTTCTTTCCCACCTGTGTGATGACATATTTTGGAGTCTGTGAAACAGCTGTGTCCAAGGAGCCTGTGAATGAAAAGCAGAATTCAGGGAAATCCAAGGAGGTTATTTCTGCTGTAGGCATGTTCCAAGGACACAAAGAGGGTCGTGTCACCTTTGTCCAGGACTCACCTGCTCCCAGTAGGCAGAGGACTGCATAGCAAAGAAGCCTGGAACCCATGGTAGGGTCAGAGCAGGCCAGGTTGGGCTCTACCTCAGGATTACTCTCTGCAGTGGTACGAAGAGGTTGCAGGCTCCACTTCTGCTGACATGTGGCTTGTCTGTGATAGCTCCGCCTGTGACGATGTCTCTGTCTTCAGGCTGTCCTTGAACTATCTCCCTTTTCATGTCACATGCTTCCTCCTTTCAAGGCGTTTTTGGAATTCCTAGGGAAGATCCGATTGGTGTGGGTGTGTTACTCTAAAATGTGTCTCTAGTGGTTCTTACACCATCAACTTCTTCCCTCCCTCCCCTTTCCAGGAGCCAGTCATGTCTTCCCTTTCTCTCTTCATGTCCCTGCTTCAGAGTAAGACTGGTTTCCCCTATGTGTATCTTTTCCTTCCCTTCACAATAATGAAGGGACACTCCACTTGGCTCTCTTGAATGCCAGGTTTATGCTCAGTGGTTCCTATAAAGTTCAGGTATGGGCAAGAGGTTTACTTGAGGGTCTACCCTAGAACCATCTGCAGCCATTTATGATTCCTGACTGTGAAGACAGTTAGGAGATATCTCTGTCCATGGGTCCTGGAGGGCAATAAACTACATTCCTGCTCCCTGTGATGTTTACTGTCTGAAGGGCAGGCTCTGTGGGGTTCTGCTACGGTGAGGCTGCTAGAGATAAAGAAGTCACCATGGGTTGGGAGCAGAGTAGTAGAAGTTGGGAAAATCTAGGTGGAATGATTTCCCTGTTTTCGATTTATCTATAGTGCAGTTTGGCCTTAGGGCCTCATGGTTGCTAGACATACGCTATCGTACTTGAGCCACACCCCAACCCAGCATCTGTATGATTTACAAACTACACTGAACAATTCTTTGTTGGGGCAAGGGCTGCCTTGTGCACGTAAGAGGTTTAGCAGTATCCCTAGCCTCTTACCACCTGATCCACTGGTGTTCCCTACTGTGACAACCAAACATATCTTTAGACAATGAAAACTCCCCCTGGATAAGAATGACCTTGCTACTGTTCATGGTGGCTCAAGTCTGTAATCCTCGCTACTCAAGACATGGAGATCAGGAAGATCTCAGTCTGAGGTCAAAAAGTTTGTGAGACCACATCTCAACCAATAGCTGGGTGTGGTGGACTGCACCTGTCATCCCAGCTACACAAGGAAGCACAAACAGGATTGTGGTCCACGTTGGTGTGTGCATAAAACAAGACTCTATCTCAAAAATAGCCTCAAAAAGGGCTAGGGGCATAGTTTTAGTGGTAGAGCATAGGCCTTGCAAGTGCAAGACTCAGAATTCAACCCCCAATACCACTAAAAACAATGAAAAATAAGAGTTCTCTTCCCTTACTCTATGCAAGAGTCCTTCACCTCCACCAGTGTGCCTGCCTTCAACCCCTAGCCTCAGGAGGTTAGTATAGCAATATCCCCCACACAGCACTCACATCTCTGTGTCCTCAGCCAATGGACCTAGGTGAACACCACCTTGGTAGGACCAAGGAATTAACACTGCCAGAAAGGCACCTGATTCAAGACACACACATACAACTCAAACACACTGTAGTAACAACTACTGGTTGTTTTGTTTGCTTTTGTTTTTGTTCTTGGTACTGCTTGATGCAGAGTTCAGTATTTAGCCCCAGCTAACCTAGAACTCACGATCCTCCTGCCTCAGCTCCTGTGTGCTGAGATTGCAAACATGCACCACCATGCTGGGCCTCACTACCAACTACTGTTGAAACTCCTCACAAGACAGAACCTCATGGTTCAATTATATTTTATTGAGCATACAAGTAGTTCTAGGGATACAGCAAGGAATAAAGAAACAATGACCACCATTCTTCCTGGAACATCAAGCATGTGTCATTTGTTGCAGTCACTGAGTGCCAACTTAATGCAAAGCATGAGAAAGACAATTATCTCACTGCTGTGATACTTATTTTCTGACAGGAATAAAAAGAAATGCACAGATTATCTATGAAATAAGGATACAAAATACATCTTACATGGAAGTCAGGAATATAACTCATTATTTACATATAAATACTTTATACAGCATCCCATTATTTCAACTGTAAAAAAATGAGCTGAAGTCCATAGTTTTCAGTACTTTGTCTAGTTCTAAAATTCTATGAGTATTCGTCCAGTGTCTCGAAGCACCTGATTATTGCACCACACAGGAAGGAAAGAAGGAAGGAAGGGAGGGAGGAAGGGAAGGAGGGAGGGAGGGAGGAATGAAGGAAGGAGGGAAAGAAAGAAGGAAGGAAAGAAAGAAGGGAGGGAGGGAGGGAGGAAGGAAGGAAAAGGAATCAAGACAGGGTAGGAAAAAGTGAAATGACAATAAAATATCCGTGATGGTGAGTTTAAATAATCATATAATGAAGTGACAATTCCTAAAGCACAGAATTGAAGTAATTACTTATGCTACTATTTTTCTGCAAGTGTTCCTGACACAATCAGATCAACAGTCCCTGGAAAGATGCTGAAATGAAACTGATATGAAAATGGTAAAGTAAACTTAGTTCTGGTTATTGTTTTATGTATTTTATAAGATAATTAGAAAACAAGATTTTTTATTATCTATCAAAAATTGCTCAAATGATAGAAATGAACAAATAAGTGACTTTTTCACATTTTCTTATCTGACATGGATGGCTGAATTAGAGGAGGAGAAGCCTGAACAGAAAGGGTCCAGGACTGGTACTGGGATTCCTGGCAAACTAATCAAGAAAGTAAATGAGGGGAAAATGAAATAATTTTTGAAATAATTTTAATTTAACCCACAGAAAGTGGAGAATTATAGGACCAGTGGGAATGAGCAGAAGGCTAGAGAAGAACTAGAACAGATTGAATGATGTCTAATTTGGACATTGGCCTTCCCTCAATCTCCTTCTTACATTCAGACCACTCCCTGAAGTCTGGGTCTTAGTACAAAGGTGTGTTGGATGTTTTATAAGCAAAATCTTCTACTCCAGAAACAAAACTTCCATCACCGCCTCTGCTTTTGGTGACTCCCACAAGAACACAGGTCTACCTGGTAGAGTTGTCTCCTAAGATCTCAGGGGGACTCTGTGCTCTGACAAAGCAGGATGGAGGGAGAATCTCTTATGCCCAATCATGTCAAATGTAGTTACCTTTGTACAGAAACCCATGATTCCAGGGCCATCAGATTCTGTCTCCTTCTTCACTGGTGCTCACGGTTAATTTCTTAGGTTTTCAAGGGAACAAGGGCCACGAGTCCTTCCTGCTCTGCTCAGCTGGCTGCTCATTGCCAGTGCCTCGATGCTGAAAGAAAAATCAATTTTCTTTTTGAAAAAATATAAAATCCTCAACTCATGTAATTGTGCCTTAGGATGGACCAACAAATACCAGATTTCCAAGGGGAACCTCAGATCCAAATTAGATATGACTATTTGTTATAGGACATTTAGCCTCTACCTGTATAAATTATTATTAATTCATATTGTTCACTTGCTTAGCTATGGAATTTTCATTTATCCACTTAAAATATTTGCATTTACTGTATTGTATTTGATAATTCTTATAAGTGTCTGTTATGTCATTTGAAAGTGACAAGCAACAAATTTAAATGTAATATTATTATACACAACCATTATTTGTTCATTTAAAAAAATCATATAAATCACCTCATTTTTGTTACTGGAAAGTATGTGTAAATGTTTATGAGGGTAGGAGTGAGGAAAGTCCAAGAGGCTGAATTCCCACACCTCAGGTTAAGTTTATTCACTTCTAAAAGTTAACTTTGAGTTTAGAAGTATGTGTTCCTGATTTTCTGATCTTTATAACTTTCAGCAGATTTTGAAAATGGCTAATAATGCAGAAGATTAGGAAATTTAGATTCCAGTATTAAAAAAATGAGTTGTCTATTTTCAGTAGCTCCCTTTGTGCTGTTGTAATGTGAACTGAAAAATTAATCTTCACAGAAAACATACAGCTTTGCTATTTGATGGTTTGGCTGGATTTTCCCTTTTAGCATATGAGAAAATATGGCGGCATAGGTAAGTATTTGAAGAATCGTTCTGCTGCTTAGCAACTGGAGCCTACATAAAGTGTAATTTTGATACATTCTTGGGTTTCCAAGATGTAAGGGAAATTCCAAATGCTTTCATAAGAAGTAAAATAGGAGTCTTGAGTGAAAACAATGTAGAAAGCATTGGTGAAAAGCAGTATCAGATCTGCTTTCTGAAAGCTGGACAACATCTGATATCTTTGGGTGTTTTGATATCATCAAGTGTTTTGTCATCCAATAACCTTTAGCATCCATGGGATTTTGTAGCTAGACATAGAAGTTTGAGAGGGGAGTCCAGAAAGGAGATTGCTGATTTTTGTGTTGTTGCTGCTACTACTCTCATAGAATCATTCTCCCAAGCTCAGGAATTTTCTATCATTGCTTGAACACTCATGCTTCAAGAAGACAGTAGCTTGCCCCAGCAGTTGAATAAGAATAAAAGCTTTCTAGTTTAATTCCCTGATATTCAGGAGTGAAGAAAATGTGACCCTTGGTCTCCTTTGCTTTGATCAGTAGATTTCTGTGAGCTATTATTATCTCTGTCAGCTTCCTAAAGAACCCCAGGGTGGTCAGTCTCATTGCTAGGCCGAGGGGCTCACAGCATGTCTGGGCTTGACTGGACTGGTCTGAAATAAGGCAGAGCCCCAGCATCCAGAGCCTCTCTTATTTCTCACAGGAACAGGTCCTCCACCTGCATGGGCCGGTGGTCTCCAAATCTCCCCAGCAGACTCTCCTTTCTAACTCCATGCAGGCTATTTGCTGGCACAAAACCTGCACATCAGAGGTCTGAATCTAACTCCTCTAACTCCTCACGTGGCAGCACTGACTAATTGCCTCTGTGGACCACACTTTTCCATGATATAAATCAGCCTGAACTGTCTCTTAACCTTCTCTCATCCGAGAATTTTCTCAGGTCCTCTCACAGTTCCCTGATTCTCAGTAAAGCCACAGCTCCCTCTTGTGGCTAAAGAATCAAAACTGATAGGACTCAATCTTCCTGCAGTGGACCAGGGCAGCAGGGCGGCAGAGGTCTTAAAACAGAGACACAAGTGGGAGGGAATAGGGCTGTGATTTGTCTCTCCTCTCCCAATTAATACTGATTTCTAAATAAATACCTTCCTGAGCAGCCTGGTACCCAATGTATAGTAAGGCAGAAATGGGGCCTCCAAGGTCAGGCTTAAGGCCATCATGAAGAAAGGGGCCCCAAAGTTTGGTTAGAATAGCCAGGCAAAAAAGGAAAAATATTACATGATTCTACATATAAAAGCTTACTAGAATAGACATATTTATGTAAAAATAGACCAGCGGTTACTAGGGGCTGAGGAGGAGGGAGAATGAGGATTTACTGCCTAATGGATACAGAGTTTCTGTTTGAAGAGATGAAAATAGTGATGTTGGTTCCACAAAATGGTGTACTTAAAATGCCTCAGAATTGTGCATTTAAAAATAGTGAAGAAATTCAGAAAATGCTGCTTTGGTTTGCAGCTTACTTCAGACTGAAGGCTCTTAGGAAACAGGAAGTACAGTGAGGAGCTCTCTCTGAGCTTCCTCCCTCTGACCAAAGTCAGATCCTCCAAAAAGAGCTAGGTTGTCATGAATTCCCTCTCCAGGAATCCCATCACCAGAGAGGATTAACTTGTATCACAGAAGAGGAGGCTAGAACTCCTTACTGTGCTCACACTGGCTTTGTCAAACAGGCTGTCTGCCTGTTCTGTTGAAGGTCCAGTCATCTTTCCCAAAAATAATTTACCTGACAACGCAAAATTGCCTATATGACCCCATACCTCGCACTATGAAGGGGGTATAGAACCTTTGAATTCCACCATATTTAAGCTATTCTCTTTCATTTGATGTCCCCTGGCAGGTAATAAGTAGGTATACCTTCTTTCAGTAAATCTACCTGCTGTTGTCTTATTTCATAGAGTCAATATTTGAATACCTAGAGGGTAGAAGGAAAAACTTTACTCCCTTACAAAAAAAATGTATTAAATTTTGTAAAATGAAGTAATCATTTATAAAATGAAATCATCAAAATGAAAAATTTGTGTTTTATATATTTTTTATTATAATTCTTAAAAAGTTAAGAAAATTCTCTATGATAATAGTTAAAGACACTGTAAAGAACCCAAGTGATTTAAATACATCAATACATCAGAAGTGAATTTTTTTTTTTTTTTTGCAGTACTGGGGTTTGAACTCAGGGCCTTCACTTGAGCCACTCCACCAGCCCTATTTTTGGAATGAGTTTTTTCAAGATAGCATCTCTTGAATAACTATTTGCCCAGGCTGGCTTTGAACTGTGATCCTCCTGACCTCTACCTCCTGAGTAGCTAGAATTATAGGCATGAGCCACCAGCACCCAGCTCAGAAGTGCTATTTGTTAGAAAGACTTCACAGAGGATTTTGTGGTACAGTTGCAATTTTCTTTTGACATGGGAGATGTGGACTACTGTACACTAGTGTCCACTAATTCACAGTTTTACATAGACTGTCACCCTCAAAATTTTTTGTTTCTGCTGAGTTTGAAGTCACAACTCATTTTTCAGTTGGTAGTTCTTTGGTTCTATGTCAAGTTGAGAATCTACTCACATTTTAGAGATTTTTACTCATCTGGGAAATGCCAATATATGTTGAATATTGCTATTTTATTAGACTATCTTTTCCGACCAAGTGATAAGAATTCTTTGTTCACTCTAGATACCAACTGTATTAAGTATGGTCAGCTATGCTACAAAAGACAAAACAATACAAAATATCATAGTTTAGACCTGAAGTGTTCCCCCAAAGACTCAGGTATTAAAGGTTTAGTTAGTACAATGTTGAGGTAGGGCTTTTAGGAAGAGGTAAGATCATGAGGACTCTGATCTCTTCAATGGATTAATCAGTTAATGAGTTCATATTTGAGAGGTTTATTGCTGTTTTTGGTGTCTTATGGTTCTGAGGACTGAATCCAGACCTTGTGTGTTAGGTAAGCTCTCTACTACTGAGTTATATTCCTAGTCTGATGGGTTCTTATTTGAATGGATAGTAAGAGGTAGAAGAAACTGCAAAAGGTTGAACTTACTAGGAGCAGGTAATTAACTGGGATGATATGGGTATATCTTGTGCCCTGTCCCTTGCATTCACTCTCTCTCCAGTAGCATTTCATAAGCAGTTCTTCTCTGCCATGTACTCTCCACCATGATGTCTCAACATGTCTTAGAAACAACAGAGCCTTGTGTCCCTGGACTGAAACCTTTGAAATTGCGAGCCAAAATAAATCTTTCCTGTTTTCCTTGAGCATTTTTTCACACCAGCTGAAAAGTGATTAACACACAAATACAAATCTTAAAACACAAAGCTTAATTCTCTGTGTTTATTCACATTGCAGCAAAGCTTTGTGTGGCATGAGCATTTTATTGCAGTTGCTGTCTGTAACAAAAAACCCAGTTAGCCAGACTGCTTATATATTATAATTAGGAAATCTGTAACCTATAGCTTCCAAATTCATCAAAGTCTAGCACAAGAGAGTTGGGGGTTGTCTGTGAAGAACATAGATGACACAAGACTGCTATGGACCAAAAATCTTCCTTGCAACATTGACTTTTGGCAGTTTTCTGGAAACTAGAATGTTAAACAGCACACTAAACTGGAAGAAAACTTTTCCTGAGAAGTGTGGCTCACTATGGCTAGGCAACCAGTGCAGACAACGTGTTGATCACAGTGTTGCAGAAGGCTCAGACAGAGATACTGGGCACCAAAGTTTTTAGGAAGCAAGTTTATTAAGCAGGCCGGCAGCGACTCGGTGGACATGAGTCCTAAGTCTGATCCCCGAGAACAGAAGGGGCTTTCCTTATATACCATTTAGAGCAGGTTACAGAAATTTGGCGGTGGGGTGGGTAACAGCTTGTCCCATACCTGGTCACATACTGTTTCACTGGCCATTTTAACTTCTAGGGCAAGGTGACCCTTCTCTGGTCTCACCCCAAGTGCCATGTGACATTCCTCAAATCCGGTTTTTGTTTGTTTGACTGTTGCACTCATTGTCTCTCATTATCTCTCTTTATCTCTCTTCCTCCTCCCTGCCTTCCTTCCACAACAAGACTTATTTCTAGGGCCTGGATTGTTGACATGTCCTACAAAAAGAGGGCCTACATGGCCAGCCTTCAATCTGATCTCTTTTATGCTAAATTTCTATGGGGTGTGCTGGCAGGAACATCACACAGGTGCTGCATCTTAGCTCCTGAGATGAAAGTGAGCTCTGTGTGACCTCTCAAAGGAGGAAAAAGCCTAAAGAAGCCTGAGGGTGGATTCCTGTCAATCCCACTTGGGATTTTTTCCTCTGAGATCTGCTGCTGATAATTAAATACTATGTCACTGTAATAAATCTAAGCTTTGCATACAACTCTATAGCACATGAACACCTCTACCAAATCTCCAAACTTGGGAGTATAACTGGGGACACCTAACAGAGTGACAGATTTAAAGACACGCTTGGAATTGGTTGATGCACTTTACAGTGTTTAGAACACCTGACCCTCCCAGTGACACTGGGAACCATCAAGGAGCTATGGGTTTAAATGATCATTAATGTCACTGTCATACTCATTCTTCATCACTTGCCTGCATTCCTATACTTCCGTGCCATCTGTCTCTTAGCTATTTGTTTTTATGGTGTATTTTGACATAGATAATTTAATATGACTAAAATGATAAATATTTTTGGGTTGTGTTCTTTTGTGTCACCACTAAAAAAGGCCTGCGCAACTGATTGTTAAATATTTTCCTTAATTTGTTCTAGTAAAATGTAAATTTTGCTTAGTGTTTATGAAGTATCTTTTCATGGAAGAAATGGAATAATGATCCAGGAATAACAGGAAAGGACATATGCTCAGTACAGAAGCAACAGCCTATGAAAACAAGGTGGAAACCTTGTTTCAGGTGGAAACTGACACATATGAGGAAGGAAGTAAATGAGGGTGGTCAGGCAGAAAGCCACATTGATGCAGGATAATGGTGGAGACACAGATGGAGGGCAAATGATATCAGGCCTAATGAGACTATTGCCCTATAAAAAAGGTAACAAGGAGAAGAGGTCATACGAGTGAAGATTTATGACTATAAAATGAAGGTAGAAGATGGTGAATGAGTTAAGTCACTGAAATCTACTAGTGAGTCATGAATATCAACTAAAGATGCATTTTCATTTTTCCCAGCAGAGCAAAAACCAACCAGTGAAAGGCCTTGAGGTGAACTCCAATCAGCCCGAGATTGGCATAGGAAGGACCTCAGCACTGAGGGTCAAGGGTCACATTGCCCATAGTGAAGTCCAACAGGTTGGAAAGGGCTTTGTGACTTATGGAAGCAAGTACCTTCTATGGTGGGCAGAGGCAAACTCAGTCATCCTAGTTATGCTTTATATGCAGAGAGGGGGAGGCCGTGCAGCACTGTGGATCACTGCTGGCACAGAAGTACACAGATGTCTGGGAAGTGGTGGCTGACTCCAGAGTGAGAGGGAATTCCTCTGTGCTTGATCTAGAGACACTGTAGCCATCAGATACTTCTCCTTTTTCAGTGTTGTTAACATCATATGAGTAATGGATCAGTCTCAGCCCATGACCAGGGTCTTGTCGATACCAGTACATGTAGTCATGCTTGTAAGTCTGATGGCAGCTCAGAGCCACCTTTCTTCTTGTCTCAGTGACCTTGTGTCTTGGATTTTGGGTGATTGTAGACTCCGTGTAGCCTGTAACAGAGAATGATACAGTGTGATGATGTTACCTCAAGGGAAAGGCTTGGGAATTTCCAGGAAGGAAGTTCACCCATGACCAGCACTCACCTGCCCACAGAAGACTGAAGGCCACATAGAAGAGGTTGGTGCCCATTTCAGGATCAGTGAAGAATTTCAAGTCTTCCAGTCCTGTGTGGGGGAAACAGAATGAGGGCTCTCAGTGACTCAATGACATCATTGCCACTGACAAATGCTTGAGCTGCTATTAACCTGTCACTTCCCTTCCCTACAGGGACAAGTCAATTTTCAATAATATGAACATAGATTTATTGCATGTATGTATACAGATATATTATATTTAATAATACATGTATACAAGATAACAGTTCACAATGGAATGGCTTGTAGTTTGCTCTCAATTATAAGTGCATATGCTCTTTTCTTGGTCTTTTTAAGAACATCTGTTCCTCTAGTCATATTTTTCCTATTATGATACAATTCCTTATTTGTATACTGTTTTAATTTTTCCTAATATTTCTATAGATGCAGAGACATCCTCATGGCAGTCCAGTTGCCTTCTTTGACCATCTCTGATCAAAATACCTCCAAGTAGCTTTCAGTTTTTCTCTTTGCCTAAACTGAATAACTGAATATCAGCCTACAGTGATTACTTGGGCTACAAAGGCTGCCTGACATTGAAAGAGTTTTAAAAACATCAAATTTGGGGTTATTACAATTTGAAGAATGATTTCATGTTCTATCACACCAATTCTTGTGACAGGAACCCTCTATGCTCAGGCTTTAGTGTGTCCTCATGGCTATGAATCCTACCTTTTATTCAGGTGAGGCTGTGTACCCTAGACCACTTATATCTTCATGACTGTGATTCCTGTCAGCCTTATTAGTGATGTGGATGAACTATTCACCAGAAAATACATGTCTGGTGCCTCTAGGCCTCTAGTGTGACAGGGAAATGCTGTGTCTTCGTACAGAAGATCCTGTTTACACCACATAGAAGGATATTTATTGAGTCATACAGTCTCTACCATGAAAAATATAGCTCTACCCAAAAGCAATAACTATTGGTATTTTCTATAAAGGTCATCTCTCAATGTGAGGCCTTTGTTCTGGGGTCATACATCTTCATGGACTTTTAATGGGCACTTTCTATGATCATGTTCTCATGAGGAAGGAAACAGAACCAAAAGTATAGACAGTGAGGTCAGCATCACACCCACATAAAGAACCTGTAGCTGTAGTCTGGCTGGCATAGAAGGGGCTTTTTCATTTATATTCAGAGGTGAGATGGTCTTGCAGATCAAGAGTCACCAACAAAGGAGCCCATTGCCCATGGTAAGGCCCGGACAAGAAAGGAGAGTTTCTAGCTCAGGACTTAGATTTTTGGAGCAGGGCACATGGAATTCCAAAACTCTGAGGATCTTTCCCAAATAAGATGTAATCTACCAATACTCTAACAATATTCAAACAATACTCCAACTTTTAGGGGAGCTAACTACAAAACAAGAGTATCTCCTTTTTATTTACTTTTTTATTAATTATTGACTCACAAATTTTCTGCTGTTGAAAACATAGGCCTCATCTTGGACCTATGAGAGGAAAAATATTTTCTGGTTCTATATTACATGTCCTGAAAGTTGACAATAGTAATAAACACAATCCATAAATTGACCTCCCCACGTTTGTCAGGCAATATTGCAATAGTAGAGATGGTGCTCTGCTACATATTATTGACCAATACCAAGGAACACCATGGAATTTTAGGGGTACATTGGTTTCAGAGGCCTACAAGTGTAGGTTTCCATTCCTGAATTTGATATTCTTAAAATGAAATATTGGGAAATTCTGGAAGATACTACTTCCTATCTATAAGGTGATATGCAGAGATATTCTTCACTTAGAAATGGATACACTACTGTCCATCCTTGCCCTAAAACACATAACATATGCTCAGTCTCTAGCACAAAGTAGGGGTTCTTGCTGCTTGTAGGAATTGGAAGGTGATGGCAGAAATGTTAGTCAAGTAAGTGAGGCAAGGACCGAAATGCTCAGGAGCTTCCTGTCTGGGCCCAGCAGGGTTGAGATAGGGTTATCAAAGTAATAAAAGTAATGAAATCCTGAGATTTGATAAGGCTGTGTGTCAACTCCAACCCAATCCCCCAGTCAGAGTCACTCATGTTCAGCTCAGCGTGAAAGTCACTGAACTGGTGAGCTGAGAATCAGTCAAGGATTCTCCCTTCATCTCTCTGCATCTTATTAAAATATCAAATGAGGAACTGGGGAGCCTGACCTGGAGTCTGCTGACACCCGGACACAGTGTCATGTCCTGACATGAGAAAGGATTGCAGAGTGGACTTCCTCCCTCTGCTTCGATTAGGTGTCTTGGGGTCTATATGGCTCCGGCATTCACTAAACCTGGGAAGGAAGACAGGAGTGAGCACTTAGCCCAGGCAGGAGTTGGATGTTCCAGCAACCATGAAGAACTGTGACCTCAGAGACTGCTCCATCTTTCTCAGGATTCAGCTGCTCCCAGGAGACAAAAGGTAGCACAGCAGAGGAGACTGCGGCCCCAGACAGAGCCAGCAGGGACAGGACTCGGCATCTCCCTATTTACAGTCAGATCCTCTGGGAGACCTCTCTGTTTGGAGGATATGCCTATGACATCGGTGATGTCACCACTCTGAGATTAGTGTCCCGTTCCCATCCATAGGCTTCCTACACCTGCTGGACATGCTTGGTTTATCCAGGCTTCCCCATTCGACTCAGTTTCCTGTGGTGTACTGGAGTTGGCTGTGCTGAGTGAGGCAAGGCTGAGTGTGGAGCAGACAGCCATCCCCTATAGCTTCTGGAACTTTCCTTTGAGGCAGTCCTCCTTTCTCTCCACATGGAGTGGACTGGGCTGCCCCACGGAAGGCCCATTATACTCCCTGACAAATGCAGGCTCTTATAGTGGCCTAAATTCATACAAGCTTATAGTTCGTGGCTCCCTGTCAGGAAAAGAACACATGCATATCATAGTGAAGCATGAAGCCTTTGATTAACCCCTCCTTGTCAGCACTACCTCCGCTCCTCAGGCAATATCCCCGGCCCAGACACCAATCCTTGGCTCTGCCTGAACCCACCCTCTCCCAGGCCAAGCCATCAGTTCACCCCATGGATCCACAGTGCCCCCAAGGGGCCAGCTTTGCAGTCACTGGGAAGGAGTTCTAGCTGTCCAGGAGTCTGGGTACTTCCTAAATCAGGCATCAGATCTGCCAGCAAATGGCACAGCCCTTGCTGTCTTGAGCTTTACCTGCTGTGGTCTCAACTTTTGCCTGAGTAGTGTGGGATACATGAAGCAAAATTTTTTTTCCAGAAAAGAGAATTCAAATTCTAAGTTGCATCATTTAGTGCAGGAAGGGAGAAACCCAACAATCATTACTTGCCAGTTGACCTCAGAATGTGTTGTGAACTGAGCAAAGCACTCTCTTTAACCAAAGGTAATACCTGGAAGGAGCTGACGCTGGATTCTATCAGCCAGTAATTCTTCTGAGCAACTAAGAAAATAAGTCAAACTTGCACACAAAGAGGAAGCTGCCTAGTTCATCTTTTTTTTAACATTATGATCAACTCTGGCTGTTTTTTATTGAATTGCCTAGTTTCTTTATGATTGACTGTTAAGATTTTCTGTACCATGAATACATGTTCCTTCCTACGTATATATTATAAATATGTAATCTTAATTGCAACTTATAAAGAACACTTTTTATTTCAATGAGGAAGTACCTACTCTTTTAGAGCTACCACATAGTCTGTTCTCTTTAAGGGATATTTGACCACCCCACACTTATAAAGAAGCTTCAGAGTGGAGATTATTAGATCATTGTGGTCTTTAAATGTCTCATAATAATTTTTTGTGGCAAGGACCACAAACTTTCTGTGCAGGGTCGTGTGTTTGATTTTTTGTGCATCGTGCAGTCTCTACCCTGACTATTTAGCCTTGTCATTGTAGTGTAAAAGTAACCACAGCTAGTACATAAGGGATGAGTATGGTTGTGTTCCAATAATACTTCACTAATACAAAAATTTCAATTTTGTGTAATCATGATAGAATCACATTAGAATTTCCATTTTCCTAATAATTTAAATTGTAAAAAAAAAAAAACATTGTTAGCTCCTAGGCCATGTGAAAACAAGTACAGGTCAAATTTGGTCAATGGATAATAATTTTCCCACATCTTTCTTTTTTTTTTTTTTCATTTTTCTTTTATTATTCATATGTGCATACAAGGCTTGGTTCATTTCTACCCCCTGCCCCCACCCCCTCCCTTACCACCCACTCCACCCCTCCCCTCCCCCCCTCAATACCCAGCAGAAACTATTTTGCCCTTATCTCTAATTTTGTTGTAGAGAGAGTATAAGCAATAATAGGAAGGAACAAGGGGTTTTGCTGGTTGAGATAAGGATAGCTATACAGGGCATTGACTCACATTCATTTCCTGTGCGTGGGTGTTACCTTCTAGGTTAATTCTTTTTGATCTAACCTTTTCTCTAGTTCCTGGTCCCCTTTTCCTATTGGCCTCAGTTGCTTTAAGGTATCTGCTTTAGTTTCTCTGCATTAAGGGCAACAAATGCTAGCTAGTTTTTTAGGTGTCTTACCTATCCTCACCCCTCCCTTGTGTGCTCTCGCTTTTATCATGTGCTCATAGTCCAATCCCTTGTTGTGTTTGCCCTTGATCTAATGTCCACATATGAGGGAGAACATACGATTTTTGGTCTTTTGGGCCAGGCTAACCTCACTCAGAATGATGTTCTCCAATTCCATCCATTTACCAGCGAATGATAACATTTCGTTCTTCTTCATGGCTGCATAAAATTCCATTGTGTATAGATACCACATTTTCTTAATCCATTCGTCAGTGTGGGGCATCTTGGCTGTTTCCATAACTTGGCTATTGTGAATAGTGCCGCAATAAACATGGATGTGCAGGTGCCTCTGGAGTAACAGTCTTTTGGGTATATCCCCAAGAGTGGTATTGCTGGATCAAATGGTAGATCGATGTCCAGCTTTTTAAGTAGCCTCCAAATTTTTTTCCAGAGTGGTTGTACTAGTCTACATTCCCACCAACAGTGTAAGAGGGTTCCTTTTTCCCCCATCCTCGCCAACACCTGTTGTTGGTGGTGTTG